GCATTAGATGTAAGTATTGATGACAAAATATATACAATAATTAACTCATATGGACCAAATTCGGACAAACCAGAATTCATTAAAAAATAAAGGAGCTAGCAGTAGAATTAACAGGAGAAAGAATCATTACATGTGATGATTGGAATTTAATAATTGATAAAGATAAAGACACTTGTAGTTATAAACATATTAACCACCCCAGAGCAAGAAAGGAACTATTGGAGACAACTGATAGTTTAGATCTTAAAGACCCATTATTATATCCATCTGCAAGAAGATACACCTGGCGACAACCCACACCAATAAAGCAAGCTCGTTTTGAATATTTTTTAGTCTCACACAATGTGCTACATTTAGTTGAACACAGCGATATAATACCTAGTATTCTATTATATCCCTTACTGTTTCACTCTCAGATATACAAAAGGGAAAGGGCTTTTGGAAATTTAATAACTCATTTTTGAAAGATAAACACTTTGTTGCAATGGTTAAAAAGAACAATTCATGATACTTTAGATCAATATGAAGACAGGACAGCTAAAAATGAGAGAGTATTTACAATTGATGACCATCTACTTTGGGAAATGATACTTTTAAATATGAGGGGAAGTTCAATATTATTCTTATCAACACGTAAAAAAGAAAACATAGCTTTGGAATCCAAATTAGAACAAGATTTAAATCGGCTTGAAAATAAGTTAGGAGAACAAAATACAGAGAGAGAGATGGGAGAATTAATGGAACAATTAAATTCAGCTAAACTAGAATTGGAAAATTTGCATAGAATAAGAACTGAGGGCTCTTTTATGATATCAAAGGCCAAATGGATAGAACAAGGTGCAAAACCCTCAAAATATTATCTGCAATTTGAATATAGAAACTTCGTAAACAAATCCATGACTTGAAAAGGGAGATGGGACACAAATAAATAAACAAGATGAACTAATTCAAGAGTTGGAGACTATTATCAGAAATTGTATAAAACTGAAGATTGCACAAAGATTGATTTAGAAAACCTATTTTCTGATACCCATGTGCCAAGACTAGGTGATGGTATAGCTTCTTCTCTTGAGGGAGAATTGACTTATGATGAGGTACTTGAAGCATTGAACAAAATGAAAAATAACAAAAAGCCCAGGCCCAGACGGGTTTTCAGCAGAATTTATCAAATTCTTTTGGGTGGATCTTCATAGTTATTTAATAAATGCTCTAAATTATGCATATAAAAATGGATCTCTATCAGTATCCCCCAAATCAAGGATTGATAACGTGTATTCCAAAAGAAAATAAACCAAAATATTTTTAAAGAATTGGCGCCCCATCTCCCTCATTAACACATCTTATAAGTTAGCTGCAGCGACAATTGCAAACAGAATAAAACATGTTTTGCCTTTAATTTTTCATGAGGATCAAAAAGTTTTGTTGGTGGTAGATATATAGGTGAGGTTACAAGAATGATTTATGATGTGATGGAATATACCGAATCTTAACAAATACCAGGTTTATTGTTATTAATTGATTTTGAAAAAGCATTTGACTCTGTGGAAAGAAAATTTATGCATAATGTACTGACTTTTTTTAATTTTGGACCAATATTCAACATTGGGTTAAAGTCTTTTTCGAAAAAATTGAATCAAGTGTTTTGGTAAATGGATATGCAAGTCCTTTTTTTAAGGTTTAAAGGGGTGGTCGCCAGGGGGATCCGATATCACCACATATCTATATTCTTTGTGCCGAAATCTTAGCAATAATGATAAGAAATAATATGAAAATAAAAGGTATACAGATGGGTAAAATTAAATCTCTGCTTGCACAATTTGCAGATGATACTACATTAAGTTTAGATGGATTTGAAAAAGAGCCTCTATACCACAATGAGTACGTTAAAATTTGTTGCCCGGTTCTCGGGATTAAAAGTAAATGCTGAAAAAACAAAGTTGATATGGATATGGTAAAAAAAAAATAATCTAGATATAAGCTATGTGATCACTGGAATTTTGACTGGTCACAAACTCAGTTTAAGTTATTAGGCGTAGATTTTGATGTTCATTTGGAAAATATGGTCAATTTAAACTATACAAACAAGTTTGATAAGATAGAAAAGGAAATGAAAATGTTGGAAAAGAGAACCCTGACACCTATGGGTAGAAATGTTGTACTAAAATCATTGTTGTTACCCAACCTCAATCACCTGTTTTGCAGTATACAAAGCCCACCCAAAATTGTAATAGAAAAGTTTCAGTCAAAATGCTTTCACTTCATCTAGAGATCTAAACCTGACAAAGTTAAAAGGAAAATTATGTCATTAGATCCTTAATATGGCGGCATCAGTGTCCCAGTGGTGAAATGGTTATCGCCGCACAAAAATTAAGCTGGATTGAGAGACTGGTTCATGGTAATTCCACATGGACAGCTTTCTTTTTTTAAAATGTTGCTAGCGCAAATGTTATTTACCTGGCTGATGCTGCCTATATTAACTATATTGCCTATTATTCCAAACATCGACAATAACTTTTGGAAGGAAGTTTTGTTATGGTGGTCAGTATACTTGAATTGCTGTGATAATGTTAAACAATCTGGTGAGGATATGATGAGCAAATCTGTCTGGCATAATAATGAAATCAAAATTGATGGTAAGCCTATTTATTTTCCACAATGGCATCAAAAGGGTATAGCATATATAAATGCCTTCATTCATGACACAGGCAAATTATATGATTTTGATGAATTTGTAGTCAGGTATTTACACAATAACAATATAATACATTGTGCTAAAGTTTGCCAAAGACCTGTACTGCCATATAATGTATCAAAAATAAACAATAAAAGGGAAGCAAGGTATTTTATGAAGCCCTATTAAACCCTAAATTTATAAAACATAAGTGCACAGTAAATGGGAAGATTTTCTTGAAAAACAGTATACCGATACAGAGTGGACAAACTTTAACCTTATTGCCAAAAGATGTACACAAATTTCTGAATTATGATAGTTTCAGTTTAAAGTTATGCATAATATTTTGAGTACTGACTTTTTTATTTAATTGGATATGTTGAATCGCCAGTTTGTTCATGATGTAATGAACCATCAGAAACAATTACTCATGTATTATGTAATTGTCACTATGCTGCTGATATATGGATGGAACTTTCAGATTGGCTTGGAAAGTACACAGAAGGCAGAGTTAATTTTAGTAATGAACACATACTGTTTGGATTTAATGAGAAGAATAACAATTCACTCAATGCATTAATTATGGTAACAAAATCTATGCTGTACACATGCAAGTTTCCATGCCTTCTGGTCTTCTCTACATGTGTTATTTAGAAACTCTGTATAACTATGATATATGATCTGTCCATGCTACAAACATGCCAATAATGTCACAATAAATCCATACACACTGTATGTATGGTATTTGAAAAGTAAAATATGATGGAAAATGAAATAAAAAACTAAAAAACAACAACTAAAATACAGAAAAAAGGCCTGGTTAAGTTCTCCCAGTAACTTCATGGTAGACGTTCATCACATCACATCTAATCTCATCTCATCTCATGTTGTGTGATGACCTTTAGAGGGAGTTTTCAGAATCTTCTTACTCGCGGACTTTTACGCCCAATTGAGACTGATTATTCTCTTGAGTTTGGAATAGGTGTGTCAGTGGTGTTACACACGTCATCCAGGGTAGATTCAGGTGAAGTGCACACAGATAATATATGTGAGGTACAAATGTGATGAAGGTATGGTTAAAGTTTATAGGTCTGTGTTTTAACACAGCAGCAACGCTATGAAACGGCTGCCTGTGTCACACCGTCGAGATGAGTTACTGCGGAACTACTTTGACCGAGAATCCGCATGAAAAATGTGTTGAGAGCAGTATGGGCGGTACATGAGCGGTACATGAGCGGTACGGTTTTGGTGCAAAGGTGTTACAGATATATATATATTTATGGTTCAAATATGATGTAAAGATGGTACACGTGTGGTGCAACTGCCAATGAGGGATGGAAAAGATGTAGCAAAATATGCAGGTTTGCTCAACATTGTTGCGGTTGAGGTGAGGTTCATGTATGACACAGATGAGGTCATTACCAGTCTGCAATGCCATGCCTTGTCCAAACAGGATGATGCTCAAATAGAAAAGCTGAAAATGTAAAAACGGTAATGAGGGATTAAATATATTCTAACGAGAAAAATATCCGCGTTTTATAAAAAATTCAATAAAATATATCAAATTCCGAAATGAATGAATACAGCTTTGAAAATATACTCATGAAAAGATCTCCTTGACTTTAAGTCGGGCAGAAAGGAGCCAGAAAGGGATGTTGGAGACGTGAAAGATCAATTGCTGGTTAATAAAATGATCCTTGAGGAGGCTAAACCTTACCACCGTTCCACCTCACATACATGTACCTCACGAATGGATTTTTAAGTCACTGGAATGTATTGACCTCCCCGAGCGGTTGCTTGTTTCACTAAAGTTGGTAATGCATTGCTGGTCAACTCAACTTGAGACGTATTCGCACGTGCATGTGGTGACTTCAGGACCAAATTTCTATTAGAGGAGGAATATTTAGGGTGATTCTTTTAGTCCCTCGCTTTTCTATTTGTCACTAAATCTGTTTGGCTTATCATCCTGGAGTGCAGATCCCCAACACCACCTACACATCGACAATATCACTGTCTGTATAATGGGACCGCCAAAAGACGTTAAAAGATGGTACTTGTTGTTACCCTGTCTGACGCTCGGCATTAAGGGGCTAAAACAAGGACTGGTCGGCTCGGTGTCAGTATACTGTGTCTGAGTGGGATATTCATGTTAAACTCCGGCCTGGTATCTCAGTGAGCTAGCGCTATAAATCGGCATCAGTCCGGACTAGTACAAGCAGCCACACAAGCACACACACACGTACATGCACGTCGCTATATAAGTGCAATAATCTTGGACGCGACGTTAAACCCCATTTCACCTCACCTCACCTGTATAATGGAGTCTTACGTTCTGAACACACGCCAGCACAGTAGCTATGATGCGCAGAGCTCGGGATTTGAAGCGGCCTTCAAGGAACTGAAAAACAATTAATAAAACAGAAACCGTTTTCATATGTATGTCAGTAAACTCCGATCATTAAAGGCTTCTAACAATTTATGCATTCTTTAGTCCGTCAAATATCAATGAACATGGTGAAAGAGCAACATTACTACAACAATGATCTATAATTTAATCTTGAGTATCGATAATTTAAACTCATGATTACGGATATCGGTCATAGTTTGGAATACCAGTATCACAACAGCACCACGACCAAAGGCGCCTGTCGTATGTAACGGCCACTGATGGCCATGAAGGAGACAGATCAATGAAACTACTACACACGGAGTCACATTGGTCTTGTGCCTGTCAAACGTGCATAAGTGTACTACCCAATGCAGCGGTGTAATACAGAGCATTACGCGACGGAGAAATGAAGAGAATCTGATGATAGTTATTCCCGAATCCACAGATTGGTTTTGCATTATGATCTACAGTTGCTTCGGATTTTCTTCTTTTAAATGCTCGTTCAGAAGGGCCAGCGAATTAATGGCTCAGATCAACCACAAGAACATGACGTAACCATAATGTTTTAGCGACAAAAAATGTTTCAAGCGTTACCTGGAATGGGCTAGAGATATTGAGTCTCTTCAGAAGGGGCAACAACAGGTATAATTCCAGAAGGTTTCCCACGGAGAAGGCTATCTCACTGAGAATCCACATGATGCCATGGCCGTAAGCCTCTGCTGACGCTCCAAGCATGGTAATTGACGACGTGAACGTCGCCATCAACGACAACGCTACGGGGAAGAAGGTCATTGAGCGTCCAGCCAGAAGGTATTCCTCCAGTCTACCATGGCTGCCGACTATGGCTTGATATATGCCAATACTCACCGAGACGGCCATCATGACACCAAACACTATGTAGTCCCACTTTCCAAACATATGAGACTCCATTGAGGCGGGGACAAAATGTTTCTAACCTAAAAGTATATTGAGATAAAACAGAGGCATAATTCTATAATATGAATGAATTATATCATTGACTTGGCATGCAATTAGCCATGTCTAATACCAACAGAAACAGATGTTTCTCTGGGGCATTCAGAACCACCTACTACTGATACACGACTGACAAATATACATACTGTAAACCTATTTTTGCCACCTGTTACCTCAGGGGGAGTGCCATGTTTAATGGATACATTCACTTAATCACGATATCATAAGTGGATGGTGGATAAGTCGGAAATAAATGCATGGTAGTAACACATGCTAATGATGTAGGTTTACATGCTTCTTTACAGATTTTATATGTTTATGGAAAGTGAATGGTGACGTCTGGTGCGAACAGTCGAGGATGGTTGTTCTCTGGCATTGACGTTCTGTGTTTTTTACATGCATATCTAACAAACAACATTTCTGTCACTGCGAACAGTAAATGGGCTATTTTGTATAATTAAGGAAAGGGCTTTGTCGTTTTTATTTACAACTAATCTCTTAAGCAGACTAAAATATCCAAAATATCTTGAACAGGTGTTTAATATTTTGGCATGTCAAGATTGCCGGGAACCCATGAATATTGAAACTAACAGAACAGGAAAGGGGGTTAGTATAGGCTGCTAGAAGCTGTACCTCCCCTTCCCTGCTGTTACCACTGTACTCTCACAAGGCAGTATTAAAATGATGCAACATGTCAGCTTACGTTTTGTCCACCTCAAGTACAAATGTATTGAACAAGAGAGTCTACTGACTTCTTTTAGTCCTACGTTTTAGCAGATTCTGTTATGGTCAGTTCTAGCGAATCCAATAGTAATCCAACAGAATCCAAACTTCACGTTTATCATTTTTATGAATACATGATTGTTTATTTCTGTCTTTGACGTAAATAAGTCAGTTCTGACAATGAGCCAAAGCGCAAACACAACCAACTACACTTGTGTCGACATGATAAAATCTCAGTTCAATTCCAAATACATAATCAATATGCAACGATAGGTGATTGATTTTAAAGCAAGGACACAGACCACCAGCAACCTATACGAGACCACCTTATATTACCGGGGATCATGGAACCTTACAGTACCCTATGCTTCTATGCTTCCCCAACATGGACACTCAGTGTTCATAATCATAAAAATAACCCTATCCATCTTCGCAGGGACATTTTTGTTGTTTGTTAGATATGCCTGGTTATTAAAATATTGAAACTAAGGTTGTCGTATGCGAAAAGCAATTGGGACAAAAGACATGAGGATTAGCGCATTATGAATAATAATGAACACGTACATTTTAATCGAACAAGTGCAGCATGGTTCATCTAAAATAATATGAGGCAGCAAAAGTAGCAATAAACTAATGTTTTGCTGCAGCTGCCTTACAGAAGCCATTAGCGGTTAAAATGATTGGCGAATTGGAAAAAATGATACAGCCATGATCAGAAATATCTCCCGCTGCGTAAGTTGACAGTGAATAATAATGTAGAGGGAAACTAGCATGATTGTTTGTGAATATTGTTGACGCAAAAGCATTTTGTATTTTTCATACATATTAGTTCGGAAATTGCTGTGTTCAAAAGGATTAATGACCTTATTATAGCAGCATGACGTTTGTCTGGGTGAACAAAGTCATCATATCGTATCCGAGTCATCATATCGAATTTCGTTATTAAGATAAGGAATTCTGAGAAGGCAGGAAATACAGTCGTATTGAAACTACTATTTTCATTTGAAATGCAAGAACCCCTTACGTGATAGATTTTACTTTTATGTTGAACTGTAATGCAATTGTTTCATCACTGAAGACATGTAAAGTGAATTTAGTGTTATGCATAGAAATGTTTTACATGCAAATACAGACAACATAGCAAGTCACGTCACGCTTGTCTGCTTGTTATCTTATGGACAACAGGGAATTCAAAGCGGTGCTACTGCTGATAATAATGTGACATTGACAATGATATTTTCAGTGATTACATTACATATTGTGTTAATGCAGTTAGAACAGCCAACCATGGGTGGTATCGTTCTGTGTGAGGAAAACTCGCGTTGGGGAAAATGCAGCTTTCTTGGTGCTATATGAGTCTGTTTTTAATAAGGAAAAAATATATATTATTGATATGCTGGTAAAGAGTGGCATTCATATACTCCAAGAAACAATGCAAGATGTCCTGCAGATTACAGAAGATGTTATTGTGATAATTGCTGGTGATTTCAACCCATGGTCTGGGACTTGTGTGGATTCGGTAGAAGACGATAAAGCATCACTTTTAGACATTGACTTTTATGACTTATTATCTGACAGCCTGAACTTACACAGCTTTTCATGTCAGAAATCAACTAATACATTTGGACATCAACTTCTAGATCTATGTACATCTTTTAGATCGATGTACATCTTTTGATATGAATATATTTAATAACAGATGAAAAAATGCAAGTATCAGTGACTTCACATTTGTAGGCTCTTCGGGAGCAAGCGTTGATGTCTATGTTAAAGCTTCATCTTCTTTGTTTACATCAATTTGTGCATTCAATATCAAATCGAGGTTAGAATGATCACATCTGCCTGTAACATGCTCGTTTCAGTCAAACGCAACCGGTCACGCTAAGACAAGTGCACACGCGTCTCCTGCGATGTACAAGTTCAGGTGTCAATCAACTTGATCATTTTAGATGTACCATCTACACAAGCTGAAATATTAAGGCATTATGAAGTTAATATCATCCAAATCTGGTGGATCGGATGACAATCATTGCCTAATAACTATAGAGGAATTACGCTGTTGAGTCGTTTTAGCACATTTTATATAATATTATATATCTATACTGAACCGCAAAAGAAACGTCACCCCAAGTGACATTTCATGAAAAGTTGTCATTTATATATCTGGGTAATTGTTGTCAACATTTCTAAAATATAACATTACCTTATCCGGAAAAATGAAATTTGATGATAAAAAAACAAAGCAGATGACAATAAAACTGATCGCCCAAACGCATCACGACAACGGCCATGGTAACCCGATGCACGTGAGTTGCATGCAAATTGAAATGCACATGTGTGCCCCCATTTTTTGCCCAATAAAAATCCACCCAGATCGGATAACATTCATTCATTTTTGAATTGCTACCACATGCCAAGATTGACAAGAAATCAGCGACACCAAGCCCTTGGACGATTGCAAGCTGGACAAACCGCCCGGCAAGTAGCCAATGCATTGTCCACGTAAGGATCACATACAGGCTCCAGCAACGGTACCAGACCACCAACACTACAGATGACCGACCAGGTAGTGGAACACCATCCGACGTCAGGATCATCAGATTGTGCGACAGCATCTTCAAGATCGCTTTGTTACTGCTGTGGAAACTGCTCGACAGACCTTGGGGACACACCAGCGATACATTAGTGCGGACACCGTGCGTCGACGATTGACGAGCAGACACCTTCACTGTCACCGGCCACACCGAGGACCCATTCTGACACCACCTTATTCCTGGGACCGTCTTCGGTGGGCAACACAGCACCAGCATTGGCGCCACCAACAGTGGAGAAGAGTCCTCTTCTCAGACGAGAGCCGTTACTGTTCTCAACGGCAGATGGCAGAGAGAGAGTCGGGTGACGCCGTGGGGAACGTTATTCGGATGCTAGTGTTGTTGAGAGACTCGTGGGGAGGTCCGAGCATCATGGTGTTGGTTAAAATTGGTCTTGCACAGAGGGTCGGCCCTGTGGTCTTCCAGAACATCGGTTCAGGGAGAGGCAATGGTGTCACAGCAACTCGGTACAATTATCAAGTCTTAAGACCACACGCCATACCTCATTTGGCACGTCGCCGCAACCACGTGTTTCAGCATGATAACGGCCGTGCCCACACTGCGAGAGCAACAAGAGACTTCCAACAGCAGAATGGCATCAGAACCATGCAGTGGCCTGCCCTTAGTCCCGATTTTAATCCCATTGAGCACCTGTGGGACGAAATTCAAAGATGGCTGAATGACCAAGGCAGACAACTGCAGCTGAACTGCAGTTCCTCAGAGTGTGGGCTCAAGTGCCTATGGCCTTCATCAACCGCCTAATCCATTCCATGTATCGACGTTGCACGGCCCCTCATCAATGCACATGGCGGACACACGAGATACTGACTTGTGATGCCATTTTCTCAGAGACTAGTGTTGTGTTTCACCTCTAAGAACTTTAATTTCAAACTTAATGATCAGTTTTGCCAAATTTCATCTTTGTAATATGTCTCAAAGTTTGTTTACAGTGTTTGCACAAATAAGGTTTCTCATATATCTATCCATGGTGACGTTTCTTTTGCGGTTCAGTATATATCAAATAGTCGATTAACATTTTCGTCTGTGGCATATGATAGAATATCTGAATCGCAAGCAGGATTTCGAAAGGGTTACAGCACCACAGACAATATTTTTTTTTGCACTCTATCATATAGAGGTACTTGTCAAAGAGACGCGGCAAGCTTTATGTTGCCTTACTGGATTTTAATAAGGCGTTTGATCTATTGTTCTAAAATGTAGGTGCTTTTCTTTCAAATTGCTGAGTCCCTTAAAATCCATCAACAGTTGTGTCAGAGCTAACAATATATTGCCAGACCCTTTAGAATGCCCACTGGGCCTAAAACAAGGATGCGTGTTGGGCCGACTATTGTTCTCAATATTTATTAATGAACTTGGTGATGAAATAGAATCTACATGTGGATCTAGTGTTCAGCTTCGACCAGATATCATTCATTTTTTTCTGTTTTTGTTTGATGACGATGTTACACTTCTTCCACAATTATTGGTCTTCAGAAACAGATCGACACTTAGGATAGCTTTTCGTTCTAATGGCAATTTGTCTGTTGATTTAGAAAAAAACCCTCAATACCTGTATACAAGAAAGGTGGCATTTTGTCATGCTAATAAAAATGGTTTTGTCGTGACACAGATGAAATGTGT